AGTATTCGGTAACCTCTACTTGGGAGATAAAAATCGGCCGATTTTATTTTTTAGCCGGAAATCATCGGTCGTTTCTTAGGCGCAGGGCCTCTTAATCTTCTCCATCCTTAACCATCCTTGTTTTGTTATGGTTTATTACTGTCTCTTTGGTGTTTTTCTATCTCAGTAAACTACTATTTCCAGGTTTCTTTCAATTTAAAGGTAATTTTGTACATGGCCAAAATAACTTCAAATACGGTGAGTGAACTCTTTAGGGTCAGACAGTCACTGACAGAGATAACCTTCGTAGGCCGCATATGCATAGAGAATTGAATAACTGTTACCCACATAGTTTATCGGTTTGTGATTTGGTTTGCCTCTGCACATTTTATGCATAACGTTTTCTTTCAAAAGTCTTTCACATTCTTGTTTCAAACTCTCCCAAACTTCGAGATACGAAAGCCGAAAGTAACATAGGCCTTTTGTTCGTTTGCGTCTGACCTTTGAACTCACTCCCAAGATAAACGAACAAGCTCTACCTGTTTTACTTGTTTCCTTGGTCATGGTCAAGGCTGCAAGTGGACTGGACGCCGCTACATCATCCCTGACTTCTGCTGCCATACCAGCTGCGATGCTCTTAGCAATATTCAGTGATGAGGAAAGTTTAGGAGGGACTCCAAAGGGCTGCAATTAACACATATAACGCTGACTTACTAAACAGTAACACCACATGCTCACCATTCTTCTGTATTCTTTTATAAATTAATGTCCTTGTTGCTATAGCACGCATCTAAGCATACCATTATTACATAAATTTATCATATTTCACAGTTACATAAAGTTACCACGCATGCCGTAAAACTGTAGGACTACAAAGATTTCAAGATAGTTTCTTTTTCTTCGCTAAACCCGGAACTCTACCACAACCACCCAGTGGCGGATTCAGACCTTAAGCTAAAGGGGTGCGTGGTTTTCTTTGCTTGCCCTGCCGGCTTTTCTTCCTTCTGCAATTTGTTTTTTTACCCAAAATAAGGGGGGAGGTCCCCCCCGGGCCCCTCCCCTAGATCCGCTACTGTCACTTGGCACAGTATTACCGGACCCGTTGTTGGGAAGTTTCACTAAGGGCCAACAGAAAAGATTGGTACATTTTCGGGATGGAAAATCCTGTCCCTTGTCGAGAGATTATCGCTATGCCGTTGGAGGAAGTTTGAGTTTATTATAATCAAAGTCATTATTTATCTCTCTTTTTCTCTGTGTGTTAGTCCCTGATGAATCCAAAAGTACTGAAACGTGGGAGGGTGTGTGTCTGTATTGCCAATATTTTTTTTTTTTTTTGAAAAGGGCAGAGGGCAGGGAGGGGAGGAAGGACCTTCCTGTAGATCTGCCATCGTTATCTTACCACTTTAAACACTTCGTCTGAAGCAGATTTGGTTTCGTCTGTTTTGGATGCAGCAGCAGCAATTCCTTTCTTGTTATCGTCAAGTTGTGTCTTCGCAGCATTCACAGACTTCGCCCACCTTTCCATGTCCTTTGCAATCTAAAAAAATATAACATACATCAGCAATATCCTTTATAAATTCCTCCAGTTTCAAATAACATCCCAACAACATGGAAGAGGCATGTAAGCGTGACAATAAGCCACTCAAGTCAAGAGCAAGATAATTTCACAGCAGAACCAGAGGAAGAAGCGCCATTTTTGGTTTATCTTTATTGAAGCATTTCAAAATTCACTCCATAGAGAAATCACTTAAGCCTGGTTCACACTTGCCCCATGACATGACGACATTAACATAATTGCATAAGAAGGATGTTATGTATATATATTTGCAGTGTGAACATGTTGACATAATGGCATATCAGCAACATAATAGCCAAGTTCTAATTTGTCCAGTACAACTAGTTTCAGACGAGTCGCTGTTTTCGTACAAGACTCCACAAATGCCTTACTTATCTAGTGTGAAAGTGGGACAGATCCAACTCCAGGTATGTAAGTGGTTTCTTGTTACCCATCTAGTTAAATCTGTCTTATGTGTAGGATATCACAAGTAGATGGATAAAATCAGTCAAGGTATCTGTCAAAAGCTGTAACTCCCACTTTCACATAACCAGTTTGGGACTCTCAGCTTGTAACAGGAACACTAGAATACGTCATTTTGTATCTTCCATACGAACTTAGATCATAGAACAGACTAGCTTTCACAACAGACGAGTTCTCCATTGTGTCATAAGTGCTGTATCTAGTGTAAAAGAGCCAATAAATTATAAATAAAAAGTAGCGCACCTTTTTTGCTTGCAATGACTTGGCCTTCTTTTGTTTTTCTGCAATAACAACAGTGACCAGAATTAAATTTCTCCTTACTTTTTTATATCTTTTGCATAATTTTCTTCCGGAGACTTTGGGGAACACAAAGCCCTGGCACCAGTCATTTGCATTTTAGTTTGAGATCGAGGAGGTTCGAAAGAAATGGGTCAGCATTAAATATGAATATAACAATTAATTACACAATTTACATGTTGGAAGGACCAGATGGCAGGACCATTGTGATAAAAAGATCAAANAAATGTGGCTTAAAATTCAGAATTAAAGTTCACTTTCCTTACTTTTCACAAACGAAGATCAAAAAGAGACGCAAAATTAATTTCAAGTTTGAGATCATTGGCAATCCTGCATTACATTGGATGCAGTGATGGAAAATTGTGATCTGTCTGATTAGCTATTAATAGTATTGACGGTTATGAAGAAATTGTATATCAGTGGTTAACCTACCCATCAGCTGCTACTGGTACATACTGCTGTGTATCAGCATTCCAGTAAAGATACTGGCCTGTTGCACTGTTGTAATAATACTGCAAGAACAGAGCAAGTCAAAACAAGTTTCTAACATAAGGTAATGATCTGGCTTAAACTGGCAAAAAAGGTGTGGAGTAAAACATGTTTTAAACTCCTCAAAATGGAAAGGAAAAAAAACTGCCACAGCGGACATGAAAAAAAATTATGTTTTCAGAGCAGTGTTTCCTTGTTTTCAGGAGCCTATAGAAGGAGACAAAAAATCACTTGTACAGCATGCTTGTAATGCTAGTTTCCAGCTTAGCTGTCAATGGCCCTATTTTTCCGTGTTGTTTGTGTGTGAGCCTGAATAAATCAGAAGTAAAAATTGCAATGTTGTAATACCCCTCGATAAGCCTTGAGGTGCTTTAGGTGAAAACAATGACAAATATGTTTATAATAAATAAAAAAGGAAATAATGATAAAATTTGTACTAAATTTCACATGCCAGTTATGTAATAAGCAATAGAGTTGATTTAACAAAAAGCAAGATTACCTGAGTATTTGCATCGTAATACAACCCAGTAGTTGAATCATAGTAATAGCCTGTTGTAGGATCATACACATAGTTTGCAAAGGACTGGGGCTGTTGTGCTTGAGCCAAACCTTGCTGTGTTTGTGAGGGTTGTTGCTGAAACTGCACAGTGCCAACTAAAAAGATTGAAAAAGAATCCAGGAATCATCCATGCCTGCATTAAGGCAGCATCATCACAAAAAACATCTACATGTATCTTTGCAGACTCAACACATCTCTCAAAAGACACNTGCACTGTTGTAATAATACTGCAAGAACAGAGCAAGTCAAAACAAGTTTCTAACATAAGGTAATGATCTGACTTAAACCGGCAGAAAAGGTGCGGTGTAAAGCATGTTTTAAACTCCTCAAAATGGAAAAGAAAAAAAATTCTGCCACAGTGGACATGAGAAAAAATTATGTTTTCAGAGCAGTGTTTCCTTGTTTTCAGGAGCCTATAGAAGGAGAAAAAAAATCACTTGTACAGCATGCTTGTAATGCTAGTTTCCTTGTTTGTGTGTGAGCCTGAATACATCAGAAGTAAAAATTGCAATGTTGCAATACCCCTTGACAAGCCTAGAGGTGCTTTTGGCAAAAACAATGACAAATATGTTTATAATAAAAAAAAACAAACAAAAATAATGGTGATATTGGTACTAAATTACACATGCCAGTTATTGTAATAAGCAGTAGAGTTGATTTAACAAAAAGCAAGATTACCTGAGTATTTGCATCGTAATACAACCCAGTAGTTGAGTCATAGTAATAGCCTGTTGTAGGATCATACACGTAGTTTGCAAAGGACTGGGGCTGTTGTGCTTGAGTCAAACCTTGCTGTGTCTGTGAGGGTTGTTGCTGAAACTGCACAGTGCCAGCTAAAAAGATTGAAAAAGAATCCAGGAATCATCCATGCCTGCATTAAGGCAGCATCATCACAACAAACATCTACATGTATCTTTGCAGACTCAACACATCTCTCAAAAGACACCTAATGATAATTATTATCTGACCCAAAAATTCTTTCATTGGTAAATTTGCTCCAATCCAGAAAATCAGAGAGGTCAGATGGCTCATCATTATTGGCACTCTGGTTTCTGTTGCATGAAGCAACTACGAGTCTGCTTCTCCCTTGTGAATGGGATGCTNGCCCCCGCACTGAAATATAATTAATTTTATGAGTGTATGCAGTAAAACAGTAAATCAATGCACAAGCATACATGTGTACATAATATTACAAACTGTAAGCCATAATCCCAAACAGGAAGAGCAAACCTGCAAAAAACATTTTTTTCATGTACATGAAACAATCATCCTAGTAGTATTTGATCTCACCTTACTGCAAGTCCAATCCTTATCTATTAGATTTGAAGTATTTTTTGGTCGGCTGTAATCAGCACAGACTCTGTGTCCACGCACATGATAACGACCCTAAAAATGTAAAAAATGTATTATCACAATTATGAATTTGTGCAATTTCTTAATTTCTAACTTTTTAACCAAGCCTAAAGGGAAATGTTGGACCTCAATGTGTGTAATTAATACTGAGAAGACTTACAGTGTGGTGCAGATATTCCCACAGTAAAGCCCATGTGTACTTGGTTAATAAGATATACAGTGAAACCTGTATTAAGTGGACCCCCTATTACATGTGGGGGGTGGACACCAGCTTGAGTCCCTAAATTTTCTTCCCACGTTTAAAGTGAAATAAACCTGCATTAAGCTGACACCTCTGTTAAGCTGACCTGGACACCAATATTGAGCCATTTTATTGCACAAAACCTGCAATAAGCAGACACTTCAAGAGCTTTATACTTCTGAAAGCTCAGCTCAGACTCCCTTATCCTTATTTAACAAAGTTGTTTTAAAGCTTAAGTACATGTAGATTATTCCAGATTGATGCATTGACTGACTGGATGTTGAGCAACGAGCAGTCTCTGGTCTTACACTGTGTTCAAAGGGGTTAATAATTAACTGAAGAAGCTAGTCATAAAAGGGGATAAGTGATGATTTTGGTNCTCAATCAATGAAATCCCAAACATATCTTGAAAAAAAAAAACAGAGCAAGCACATGAACATGTACATGTAATAAATATTACTATAATTAGTCAACACAACCAACTCACATCCTCCTCTTTGAAATCCTTATCAAGACCGTGCAGGATAACCACATTAGTGGGCTCTTCTTGTCGACTGTCTTGCCACTTTCTGTCATCATCTCGGTATCTGCTACGAGATGGCTCCCTGTCATCCCAGTCCCTGTCTCGATCACTGCGATCACGCTGTTTATGAATGACAATGATTATTTAGCTGTGTTTGAAAAAAAGAAAAAGTACTGCCCATGGTGTGAAAGAATTCCTCTTGTTTATCCCTTGCTTTCAGTTGCTGAGTACTTCCACTGATTCATTTAATGCCATGACCATGAATATTGAAGAATCTTGAAATGACTGTAAGTGCACAACCAATTTGAAGAAACAATAACCGAGCATTCTGTAGTCATACACTTACTTTGAGACATGCATGTACAGAATGTACATCTCTGTCAGTGTTATGCAAAAGAATATTTTGAAGTACTCTTCATGAATTTCTGTTTTGTACTTACAAGTGTATTCAGAAATCCAAAAAATGATGGTTTCAGTATTATTGTTGAATGAGATATGTAGCTGCTTCTCAGCAATTTTTTCCAGTACCATTATTATCAATTAAATGATATCAAAAAGTTTTAGTTAAAGCTGTAGCCATTTTACATGTACAGTAGTTTAAATTCTGAAACACTGCTATACATTGTATCAAAAGCTGTAGCAAAAAGAACTAATAAAAACAGATGAACATCTATTTCTATCATTTAAAATCATGCAACAAAAACAAGGAACATGTGTACAACTTCATCACTGTAATAGTCCTCAGGGTCGCTCCTCTGCCGACTCCACTCTCTGCCATATCCTGCCCTGTCTTTATTGTCGTAGTCCCAGTCACGATCTCTATCATAAGCCCTGTCACGATCTCGATCTCTGTCATAGTCTCGATCTCGAGATCTTCCATAGTCTCTATCACCATTATAATTTCGATTCCGATCCTGCCGATCACGATCGTAACGGTCTCTGTCCCGATCTAGGCTATCACGGCTGTCACGTTCATAGCGATCCCTGTCCCGTGACCTGTATCCATCCCTGTCATGATCTCTGTCACCCCTGTCTTTATCACGATCATTCTCACGAACCCTCTCCTTGTAATAATCTCTATCACGACCAAAAGGATCAGGTGCATCACGACGCTTTAAATCTGGACTTCGGCGTCGCTCATCTCTGTCTGATCTACCATCCCTAAAACGGCTCAGCTCACGACCAATGTTACGTTCAAGATCGCGGTCTCTTGTATCCAGCTCTCGGTCACTGCCTCTGTAGTTTGAACTTCGCCTCAGATCACTGGGGTCGTCTGTTATCCTACATCAGTATTTCAAACCAAGGATGGAAGGAGTGAGTATCAGTTGACAAATTAAAAAAATATTGACCTTACTCACCTCACGAATATCAAAATACTGATGTTTTGACCTTTTCAACACCTACGTGTACTTGAATGAGCCGATGCACGTTACCGGAATGTTCTAACAATTTCTTCACCAAAAGATGCTGTAAGCCACATAACCAAATCTTGTGAACATGTTGCAGACTTTTGGGGTTTGCCCAAACCCAAAGTGTAGAGGCAAAAAATGCAAAATCCTCAAAGACCGGATTTTTGTTAATATGTGCAGGATCACTGATATTAAAACAACAACAGAGATGATGGAGTATTTATTTTACGATAATTGCAGAAATTCTTGAGCACTCATTGGCTAATTTTCATTGTCAACATGCAGACAGACACATGGATTTATAATCTATGCAATGTGTCAACCAGCAAGAGCAGACAACTTGACAATTTGTCATCATAAAAAACAAACTGACCTCAGTTTTTCGGTTGTCTTTCCTATTATTGACTATGAATTTCGTCATAACATTGTCAAAGTAGTCTGTGGATCCACTTGGCTATCACCTTGTGGATCCACAACTACTTTGACAATGTTATGACGAAATTCATGATCAATAATGGGACAGACGCATGAAGAACTGACGTCAATTTGTTAAATCGATCATACTCACTTCAATCGGCATAATTATTATATCAACGAGTCTAATTATGCAAAATACTCAGAATACTTTACTGTAGCAATAATACAAAACTCCTACTTTTAACAACATTCAATTAAGGTAGACATGAAGTTCAGAACCTTTCAGCGGTGTCTTGCCGCCTATTGTCCATTTTGCTAGCCTCTGATCAAGGAAAACGTACAACTGGAGACGAAGCGACCTACAATTCTTGAAAACTTTGAAGCACTAGCGACCTGCAAATTGAGGATAAATGTTCAGTAAAGCGATCTAGCGAGTAAACAGCAGCCTTCATACACGGTTCGGAGAGGACATCACTTGTTTACGTGTGGAAACGGGCGTGATTTCGACGAAAAAAGGAGGCGCGGAGCAAAAGATGACCTAAATCCAAACATGGCGGCTGGTCCCTGGAGCAAGCGTGACCTTTCCTGAGCCAATCGCTAATCACTGCGAGTAAGCAACCTGTGGATAAAGAGTAAGCTAAAGGATTCCCTTGCATCTCTCTCTACTACACAATACAAACCTTTCATATATATGCAAAACTTGACTAAATTCAACGCACAGCTCATTCTTCTACAGCATGTGCAGGTTGTTTTCCACCCTCATCCAATGGAAAGGAGTGGCTACTAAGTTACTAGCAGGGCTGGTTACCAAGTCAAGTTTCCTGCGCATGTTTTAATGGTAGAGGCAAGATGGCGGACGAAGGTGAAAATGGTGGACGGAAGGTATTTATGAACTGAACACCCTAAGCTTAACTCTTAAGCAGTTAATTTAATCTTTGTTTTCTGCTATGAGGATGGAGAGTATAAGGGAGAAAATAATCCCAGTCTGTATGAGGCTAAAGTCATTTCATCCACAAGTATTGCAAGGCATGTAAGCTTACACTTAAGCTTATATGGAAATGTGTAAAGATAATTAATTTTGTATTTGCCCTTGTAGCACAAGGAGGTGGCTCGCATATTTAATATCTTACCTGAAAGACAAGCAAAGGTGAATTACTTGCTTGCAACACAAGAAAAGGCAGAAGCGGCCAAGGTACTGTAAAGTGATTGCACACGTAAATTCATCTCTCTGTTATTTGACTAACTTATGGTGCAAAGAAAACAGGGTTTTTTAGTTTGCTTTTCATGCCATTGTGTATCAGCCTGCAGTCTGTTCTCATTAGCTGACCACAAAAGTCATGTGTTATTAGCTAAATTTCATTGGCCCTGGGTTATTTAATACAGATGTAAGTCTTTCTTTGTCAACCTGCAAGCAGGCTCATGTTTTGGAGCACACATGTGAGTGGCGCCTCTTCAACAGACTTGTCCCTGCTGACTTGCTCTTTGCCACTCATGCGTGCAACGCAGAGGTGAGCCTGCTCACAAACCACTCTTTATGAAGTGTAATTGCCTCAGCTGTGCCAACATTGAGCAGCTGGAGTGGTCTTGACCTGTAAATATGTGTAAATGTTGCATATGGCCACACCTGTGACTGGGTAAATACATGTGATGGCTATTGGCGAGAAATAGGTGGGAGTTATATCGAGCTAATGGTACAGTACCGCTCACAAGTAAGTTATCACTGTCTTGCGAGACGCGTCTCGTTTCTCACGAGACTTGTCTCGAAAGAAACGAGAGGAGTCTGCAGAGAAATGAGATGTGTCTCATTTCTCGCGAGTGCACTGGAAGTACCAATACTTTGCATTCGTCGGTATTCAAAACCTGTTTTATGTATAAGACTTCTGTATTGTATTGTATCGATTAGCGTGGTTGACACGATTTCCGTTCTCATCAGCAATGCATGTGTACCATGTGTGTATTATAAGTTCTCAAGCATCCACTATTGTTTCATATACATCGGCCAAGCTTTTTTTATTCCAGCCAGACTTGCTTAACGTTTAGTGTTTGTAAATACATGCATGATAAAAGTTGAAGGTATCTGAATTGTCGGTGACAGTCACTCGTGTTTACAAATATGTTTTACAGTTGTATCAATTCTCTTATTGTATAGATCTTAAAACAAGGTTTGTTTGCAATTCTAAACGTGATTCATACAGTTGATAATCAAAATGTAGCGCTCATGAAACAACATGTAGAGTTTTGTCACCCGATCTACATGTTGCAAGTTAAAGACGCGATCGCAATCACTAAGTCAACACAGCAGCGCCGCCTATGTTTTGTTAACTATCGCTCCCGACTGATTTGTCGGGAAATTCGACTAACTTTTTATCCAAAGATTGTGACCATGCGAAATGACGCTAAGTGATCCGTTGAATAGCTTAATATTCAAACTTGTAAACACACGCTTTGCACATGAAGCCTTGATTAACTTTTTATTCAAAGGTTGTGAACACGCGAAACCATGCTTTGATCATAAATCACTTCCCTTCACATTCGAATAACTTATTTATTCAAACTTGTGAATGCTTGCTTTGCATATGAAATCTTGACTAACTTTTTGTTCACACTTGTAAACATGCGACACACGCTTTGTTCATGAAACCTCGAATAACATTTTATTCAAACTTGTGAACATGCGGAACCACGCTTTGATCATGAAACCTTGACTAGCTATAACTGGACCGATGTATTGGCCGATATATAAAATGTTTACTCACATACCGCTCGAAATCTTCGCTGTCGAGCAACAAATATTCTATCTGCTAAAGAGAGAGTATTGTACCATTTGAAAAAACGATTTATACCAAATAGAACGGGCGATGTTTTTGCCACGACGCTTTGCAAAACAAACTTCATTGGTGTATTAAATGACTGCGGCGAGACAGAACTTTCCCTTGCAAAAACATTGACTTAATGTAAACTTCGCATCACATAAACATTATAAGGAACTCTTGTCTGCAAAGATATAGTATTTTGGTGTTTGAATGAACGATTTATGCCAAATGGAACTGGAAACGTTTTTAGTGTTTGTCTTGACGTTTCAGAGAACAATAAAGTTCATTAATGTTGCCGACTCGTCCACCCGTACCGCTAGACAAAACTTGCGCTAGCAGAAAAATTTAAAACTATTGTAAACGGTGCATCTCAGAAACCTTGATAAAAACTCCTGTCTTCGAAGATATAGTATTTTAGCATTTGAATGAACGATTTATGCCAAAGAGAACCGGAGATACATTTATCATTTTTTCAACAATTTATGACTCCCATTTATAAACAATTGACTCACTGGCGCATGCCAAAAGCCTGAATGTTTTTCTCCTACACAAAATTAAATGTTTGTTTGAGTTAGCGGTTATTGAAGAACAAGCAAATGTAGGTAACTGAATCATTTGGAGTGAGCAAGATTCGCAAAATCAACTCTTTGCCCCCGTGATCGCATGAATTGAAACGCATGTAATTCTACTTGTAGTTACATTCAATGTTCAATATTATCTTTGTTCGATATGAATCGAGCAAACGATCGATTCATATTTTATGTTGGATGGTCCCATCGATTTGACAATGAACTGCAGAGCAGCAATCGCTACAGGTAACTGTTTTCTTACACGTAATATATGCCATATACTAAACACTTCAATGATTCTCGAGAGAGACGAGACGCGTCTCGCGAGAAAAGAGAAACGTCTCGAGGGAAACGAGACTTGTCTTGCGAGAAATGAGACGGTTGAGCGGTACTGTTGAGCAGTACTGTAAGTGTGCTGGCCTTTGGATTAAGGATTGCAGGCTCAAGTCCTGGCTTCCTGGGATTGCTATGTTCTGTTCTTGGGTAAGGTACTTCACTCTACAAGACCTCTCTCCGCCCAGGTGTGCATAAATTGGTACCAGCATATGTACTGTGAACAGTGGGGCATGGGGTAAACCTGTAATTTATTACTGGGAATACTCCTAGTTGCTTCACAAGGTGGAAACTGGAGATAAGTGCTGACCCACTTGGCCTTTCATTGGCCACCAGCCTTGAAAGCAAACTTAACCTAATAATGAATAGTGCTAGGTAGTCAGATTATTAGTTACAATGTATTTCTTTACCGCACGATAAAATGTCCCACAGAATCCAAGAAAATTGAATATGCGAAAATGAGTTAAATATTGACTTCGGATGGTAAAATGAAACCAAATACAACAGAATTTCCATTCGTGTGCTATAATGGCTAGCATTTGAGAAAACAAGGGAAAATAAATGTGAAAGGCATCTAAAAATCAATCTGAAAACAAGAAATCAAATAATTTCTTCGCCATGCGAAGAAATATATTACAGCGCTGCGAAAGAAAAATGAAAGTTGTAAATCAAAAAATGACAAAAACTAATTATTTTGAGATCAATCGTATTTCAACTGCGTTAAATTAGTGGCCACTTAGTTCTTTCCTCTGCACTTCTGTAGTAGCTGAATGAGAGTCCAAATATATATTTGAATGAAGCGAATATAAACTAAATAAACAAACCGCATGGACGTCACGGTAAATTAAATATGCAGAAATATATTAATCCAGCGTGCAGGTACAGGGAACCAAATGAAAGAAATGTGAAAGGAAGTTCAATAGCAATAAATTTTCATTCAAGTTGATGGGAAGAAACCTATTTAAAAAAATATTCCCAAACGTGGGAATGGCCGCATGTTCAAATTAATTCTTCATGCTAATTAAGGGAAAGCTTGAGTTTTTGCTGACCACTTTTGCAGTCATTTTAATGCCCATGGCGTTACCGATTATTGCAAGAGTGGAATTCAACTTTGAAGTAGTAATGTACATTTACCATGTTTGTTTCTTAAGTCCAAAGAGCTTCAGCTTGAAATTTGCAATCTGTATTCAAAACTTACTTGAAAGTGCTCCAATCGTCGTGTTTTCATGGCAGTTGTAGAAAGAAAAAATTCTCCACCAGAAAGGTTTGAGGACTGATTAATCCTTGATCCTTTATTCTGAGGCCACTTAAACATTGATTTGTATTTTTCCTTTCTATTTTAAATCTCAAAGCAGTTATTTCTCCATGTTAGGAATGAAAATGAGACCTTGGAAGTTTTCAGATTTGACCCGCAACGTGCATGATTACCTGCTCTTTTCGAGCGCATGATTTTAAGAAGAAAAACCAGCTTTATAGGACCCCTAAAGTCCTCTAAAAATGTTATCAGAAAGTCCATTCTGATTGGTTTATTTTGTCCCCAAGAACAAGAGAACAATGGAATGATAAGAGGACCAAGAAGTCTTCAGGGAGGGTAGGAAAGACGATTGCCCCCACATGCTTTTTTTTCGGGCAGTTACGGGTGACACAGGGAATTGGAGGAGTTTTTCACACAGGCAGTTACAGTTGGCACAGGCGTCACGGGGTTAACTGATTTATTTGTGGTTTTTAATACAGGAAGAAAAGGCAAAGAAGGATGATGCTTTCTACTGTGTTTGTCGTACTTCAGACACCAGCCGATTTATGATGTAAGTGTCTGCAGGCTTGTATAATCAGAATGATAACATGATACAATGTATGTAAGGGTTTGAATCAATAATTCTGTGGTAATCTATAATCAGTTTTATAAGAGAGACAAGCAATTAATAATAATTGGCAAAATAATGTACATGACTGTATAAATTAATTTACATGACGTGTATCAATAATTAATTTTGTTTATTTCCTTATTATTTTTAACTTATAATTATTTATTTATTAACAGTGAACCTATTATTTTTATGTGTAGTCTGATGTACAAAATGTTGTAGTTTTCACCCACTGGTTTAGCTTCTTATAGTTATTTTGGGTGTCCTGCTACTGATTTTCTTTTTTTTTTATGAAAATTTTATATTAGTGAGCAAAAACTAACGATAAAAACTGATGTTTTGGTGTCTTCATGACGCCATTATTAAGGTGATGAAAAATAAGGAATACAAATTCTGCAAGTTCATAAAGGTGTAAAAATGAATTTATATAATGAATGCAAGGCAAAATTATACAAATAGAAATGAGCCATTCCTGAGTTACCTCGTACCTCTGTGTCAAAACAAGTCTTTGTTTCAAACCATTCACATGAAAATGTGTTCTGCCTACAAGTTCATTTTCATGCGAATCATACTCATTTTCATATGAGAGGTTTTGCACGCAGACTCGTTTTTAAACAGAGGCACAAGGTAACTCAGAAATGGTCCATTAATAATTAAATCATAGCACTAGACTGTACAAATAATTTGTTGTGGTCATTGTTGTTGTTAGTTCTTCTACATTTTTCTTGTAGCAGCTATAGCCTTAATTTTAATTTTGAAAGTATCAAAAATACCAGTAAACAAGGTGGTTCTGTTGCAGCCAGTGAAAGGTTTTGTGAAGAAATATACAGGTAATGATGAAGGTAAATTAATCTTTTGATTTAATTCTGAATATCTCTTTTGTGCAGCTGTTGTGACAAATGTGATGAGTGGTTCCACGGGGACTGTATTGGTATTACAAAGTTGGAGGCAAAAGAAATCAAGCAGTACTATTGCAGGGAATGTCTAGGTAAGCTATCCTCTTTAAAGAGCCACACACTATTTTTGACTTGCTTTTATACTGAAGAAAGAGTATAATATTATTATGTTGATAGAATAAGTCACGAACAACAGTTCTTTTCAGAGCTATCCTCATGCAGGAAATCCCACTGAATGAGTTACAGATACCCCTTGATGCAAACCATTTACTATGAATTACCAATCTTGTAGTTAGTGAGCTTGAAACAGAACTGGAGCCCGTTTCTTGAAAGGCCCGGAAACTTTTCAGGCATGTAAAGCCATTTTTAATTTCTCTGCATCTAAAAACTGAGAGGTGTACACGCCTGGAACTTCTTGTATGAAAAGAACCTCTGTTAATATTTAGAATACGTGAACAAAACAGCTCTGTAATCATAANTGAAACATTGTAACTTCTTATCACCAATTTTTATCACAAAATCTGTTTCTAAGAAATTATTCAATAAACTTATTGTTTTGTCTGGACTAGCCTGAAAATACTCATATTACTTTTTCCTTAATGAAGCCTTGCTTCCTTTAGACTAGAGTCAATCAGTCAGTCAGCCTGACAGTCAGTCAGTCATATTGCTAGTCAGACAGTCAGTCAGTCTGTCAATCAAATAGGTGCTCAGTCAGTTAATCACACAGACAGACTGTCAGACACAGTCAAGACAATCACAAGTTAGTCACAATCAGACAGTCAGTCCATCAATCACTCAGACAGACAGTATGAGAGTCTGTCAGTCAGTCAGTCAGACAGACTGTCTTACTGTCCATTGCACATGTTTTCAGGACATGAAGAAGTTTGGTGGCCCCAACAAGATGAGACAAAAATGTCGCCTACGGCAGTGCCTTCTGAAGTCAAGGGTAAGAGATGTAATAAATACTGTATCTTACTAACTTTGTCTTGATCAATCATGGTACGTACAGTAAGTTACGGATCCTCATTTTTACGGATTTATGGCCTGCGTGAACATGCTTGGGCCATGAGTTGAACGGGAAAAAACTTGGTCTGCAACTTACGGCATGGACCTTGAGGTATAATATTGATACATGCATCCATGTACTTGTGTAATCTACATGTGCATAAACTCACTAGACAGTTCGGTAAACATGGTATAAAAATATCTTTAGGTCTACGTGCAGCACACAGCACTTAAATTTTGTGTGGTTAACGAGTTTCAAAGTTTGTGTGGTTGTACCTGGTTAAACTCATCAACAAACAGTGAGCTTGGGGAATGGTCCCTGACAGGATGGTGGAGCCTGAGATCAAACTAAACCGTGCACGTAGGGTATCCATGACAACCCTGTGAGCGGCAACCACCAGGTACCATCACACTGAAAAAACAGTGGAAACACAGGATACTTACCACATACTTACCCTCAAGCCAAAGGGGGACTGGTGGGCTGGGAGAAAAGCTTAACGAGCACTGTCCAACAGCGAAAAACATGCAGAAAGATTTGACATCCGAAGCCGAGCTGTAAAATCCAGGCGCCCCTGCACAAATGCCCCGGCCACCCTGAACTCACTCTGGGGGAGACTGCTGGCCAGCAATCTTGTTTCGCGTTTACTTAGCCTAAATTACGTTGAGCCACATACAACAAATTGAGTAGCTATTTTTCAGGTTCTGTTAAGAGGTGGCTCCACCTACAGGGACATGCTAAAAGGAGAAGAGGCTAGGAGAGAAGATCTTGACATTGACATAGAGGTACATTGAACAGGATTGACGATGAATGTGAAATTATCCTGTCATATGAGTTGATATAATTTAAAGCTCTTGCATTTTAGCCTAGTTTAAATTAACTCAGCACTAATCAGTGCGAGAAATCTATTTAGGCAATAGTTTATGTTCTTGAATAGATTGTTGAGTTATATATGAAATACATATAAGCACGCACCACACGTTTTGAAACATAAATCCACTGTTAAAATTTCTTCATTATTTCTTCTTGCATCAGAGTTTGACTCCAAGAAAACAGCGCAAAGCAGTGAAGATGAAGCATGCAAAGTCATCTGAAAGTAGAAAGGTTTGTAGATGAAGTTGATAGGCTTGTGAGAGAATACGCTAGTGTGGTGCGTTAGGTTAATTGTTTTCTAATACAAAAATTTGCAAAAAGACAATTCACATACTCTACCTGAAATGCCTGAGAGACAAAACGCCTGGGCAATTGATGATCAGAGTTAAAGTTTGCTCTAAAATTTGCATCGCATTTACGAAAAAAAAAACCGAATTATTGCTGAATTACACCGCTGTAGCAAAACCTACTATCGGTAAGCTTGGTTCGAAAATTCGCGCGCATTGAAGTTATAAGTATCCTGAAAATTCGACTTATTATCGCTGAAATACCATTTCGCGGGAAATTTCCCCGAACATGTAGGCCCTGAAAAGCCAGGAAATTGGTCGAAATTTGTATAAATCAGATTGTTACTTGTCCCGTCACTAATATTGAAACGGTGATTTTAATATACTTAACTAGACAACATAACACCCGTAACTTCTTGATACCAAGTACAATGCGTTTTAGAGCTACACCATGTATCAAGTTTAGAGAAACCATACTCAAGATTGCTGTTCCAGGATGTATTATTTTCCTGTTTTTCTTTTGTTTTAAACCATGGTTGCGTCTCGGTCCAATGACACGCAAGAAGAGAACTTAGCTAATAAACATATACAGGCCGAGGGTAGATAAAGGTATATTTAGATTTATTTTTAAAGGCATGCACGCTTGGTCAATATTCTTGTATACCAAAATATATTAGAAACTTTTTTAGACTTAATTGGTATGTGCGGTCCATACTGGGAAAGATTGGTCTTGTTCTCTTTTGGTAAGTTTGTGCGCCTCACCTTCAGCTCAGTCTATGAATGTGTAGCAAAAGGACTTTGACTAACCTGATAGGCCTTTCAAGCAAAATTACCTCAAAGTAATACCAGGACCCAGCCAGTTTTAAAATTCTTGTTGAATTTGTTATCCATTTTGTTTATTAAACAGGAAAAGTTAAGGCAATCCTGCGACAGACCACGCAAACGAAAGAGAATTATGTCTAACGAGGAAAAGAGTAGAATGTCCATTGAATATGCTGATGAGAGAGAAAGAGATGAAGTTCCACGTCAGTGTTATGGACCTGGTTGCACTAAAGCTGCTCGCTCTGGTTCAAAGTATTGCAGTGATGAGTGTGGAATTCAGCTGGCTGTCAGGTATACCAAGTCACGTACGAGTTGAATTACGTACTAGATAGAAAGGATCGCTTGATAACTTTCATTCAGATAGTTGTACATTAGGATTTAACCACAGAGTTAAAATTTGGAAGCACTTTGACAGCATAATAAACAGTACCACATGAAAATACTGCTTGATAGCTTGGATTTGATTGCCTATATATACACAGACTTCAAAGTTAAATCCACATTTTACAGCATAATACATTCAAAGTTAAATCCACATTGTACAGCATAATAAACAGTATCACGTGAAAGTAATGTTCAGTAGCGGGATTTTAATGGTCACACACCACCTTTAGATCACGTTGCATCGCATAAATACAACATACGTGTACCACGTGAAATTACTTTTGATAGAGCTTTTTTTATAATCATGTTTGTTTTTGCACGAAAGACGTATTCAAGAGATTTTACCGCAGCGTATGGCACAGTGGAAAAAAACTGCAAGTGTTGCTGATCACAAGGCTGAAGAATTTCTAACGAAACTAGCGAAAAGGAAAGAGGTATCTTCAGTAAATAGAGATGTCTTTTCCTGCTTTTTTAACGCGAGTCTGGTTAACGTAAGCCATAATATTTTCTGACGCTACGATTGTCGTAGAAGCAAAAGGAAATATGCCAAGGTAGCTTTGTGAATCTTCAGGCCGATTTACACAGTTGATACAAATTTGTCACCTGTGACAAGTTTATGTCAAGTCTTCAGCAAGAATTGTTTCGTAGAAATCAAGCATACAAGTTGCTTGTGACAATTGCGTAGGACACAAAACGTAGGATATACCTTTATTTACCCTTTGCAGTGCTTATAGCACAAAGCCTGGTGTGGCCGAGCAAGCAACTGAAACAAATAATTCAAATTGAACATAACATTATAACATAACATAACGTAACGTAACATTTTGAAACATGTTCTGAAATCCTGGCGTAGAGATGTCTACCCCTGCTTTGATTAGGGTTCAGTGTGTTAAAAGAAGGCTAGTAACTTACGAGCCCAGTAGCTGTTGTTTGAGCCTATTGTTTTTCTATCCTGTACACACCCTTCAGATTAATTGCTCAAACTCTAAGGGCCTCTTCACATGAGCCCGGTTACCGAGATGCCGCCTCACTCCAATTTCCTTTGTAAAAATTTCGATGAGTTCACTGGGCGGTGATAGGAGAAAGCAGGCCAACCCGGTTACCGAGATCTCGGTTTCTACAAGACTACATCTGTAACAAATGCAAAGCAATCACTAGGGGGAATATTATTACTATTTTTATGAACTCATCACTATAAGGTTTGTTTTTTAGGAAGCCCAGGAGAAGCTGTTAGAACTTGACAGACAAAGCAACAAACTTGATGCTTTTATAGAGAAGTCCAAGAACGCAACTATTGAAGAATCAGAGGTAATGAACATATGCATCAAGAGAGCATGAAGAGTAAGAGAATAAATCCCTCACATAGGCTTTAGTTCCAAGGGG